GCGGCCTTGTACAGAAATGGCCATCGCACGGCACAAACTGACAAACCACGTTGTTCTCCTATCAAGAAACTTTCAACCATCGAACCATGCATACCACTGCCGTCCTCTCGCGGTGGAGTGGATCATGCTTCCTTGCTTTTCCAAGTATTCCTTACCCTCGCTTAGAACAGAGAGGGGAAACGCGCCACCACGGGCGAAGGCGCAATATACACGAGTCACGACTCAGTCGGCTAAATGGCCCGTTCCGTTCGGCCTGCGCTTTCTTGCCGGGCATCCAGCCACGGCGCATACTTGGTATGGGTGATGGATGCATGGTACCCCAGGACCCCTGCCCTGCTGTCGGGGGCCCCCTTCTGTAGTGAATGCCACCTACCCCTGGAGCTACGATAATGCAACAGAACAGCCTCCCTCGCTACCGTTATTACTAGGCGAACAGCATTCAATCAGTCGCAGTACCATGCCAGAGGGTTCTTAGCGTCTGGTCTCCTCTATACCGGGTGTCACGTTATTCAGGGAGGGAAATGATGCTGTCCCCGCTCCAGTTCGAAGCAAAACAAACCACGTTTTTTTAATATAAGGTAAGACGACTCGCTACACAACCTACCTACCTATGTGGGAGACTCGGCAGCAGCGTTGCCACGTCGCTTATTAACTTCCTCTGCACAGCACGGCCCCGCGTCCATTGTCGACAATGCTCATTGCATCGGGCCTAACTCTCGCTGCCCTCGTGGCATGCGTCTCGGGGGCTCCTCCAACGAAGCGATCAGGCTGCAGCAGCGCCACCTACGATTATGTATGTTTCATCTTATGCTGTTTCCCTGTTGTTCTTTGACCTTTGAGTCCCCATCCCCTTGCTCTGCACGAGGGTTGCTACCCCCTCGAAAGCCATTCTACCAAGGAGTTCTAACAGAAATGTCACACCTGTAGATTGTTGTGGGTGGTGGCACCGCTGGTGTAGCTGTCGCTGCTCGTCTGAGCGAGGGTCTGCCCAGCGCCAAGATCCTTTTGATCGAAGCCGGCCCTGCCGTCTCGGATGAGCCCAAGATCAACATTCCGGGCATGAAGGGCTCGACTCTTGGCACCAAGTACGACTGGAACTTCACCACTGTCCCTCAACGGAATGTGAACAACCGGGTGATCCCTTACAACCGCGGTAGGCTTGTCGGCGGCAGCTCCGCGCTGAATCTCATGACGTACGATCGCGCTGCCGTTGCCGAGTACAACAGCTGGGAAGAACTCGGTAACGAGGGATGGAACTGGAAGAACATGATTGCTGCCATGATGAAGTCTGAGACGTTCACCGGTAAGAACACAGATACCTACGGCTCTGCGGGTGTCGGCGACAGCGGCCCTGTCAAGGCTGTGGTCAACCGCGAGATCCCGGTTCAGCAGGAGAGCTGGATCCCGACACTGAACGCCCTCGGAATCGAGACGAACCTCGAGTCCTTGGGTGGCAACCCCCTTGGCGTCATGTACCAGCCCAGCAGCATCGACGCGACCACCTACAACCGCTCCTACAGTGCAAATGCCTATTTGCCCATCGCCAAGCCAAACCTTCGCGTCTTGTCAGACACTACCGTAGCCAAGGTCAATCTGGTGGCAGCCGGCGGTGGCCATGTTGCGACCGGCGTGACCCTGGCCAACGGCACTTTCATTCGCGCCAGGGCAGAGGTTATCGTGTCCGCTGGTTCTGTTCAAAGTCCTGCCCTGTTAGAGGCATCCGGTATTGGCCAGGAATCGGTCCTCGCCGCCGCTGGCATTGAGCAGTTGATCGACCTCCCCGGCGTGGGCGAGAACCTCCAGGACCACCTCCGTATCATGACCTCTTATCAGCTCAAGCCGGAATTCCTTTCCTTCGACATCTTGCGATCAAACGCCACATTTGCCGCCGAGCAGCTCGCGCTCTGGAATGCTCGCGAGAAGTCACTCTACGACTACACCGGCAGCGCCTATACCTTCACGACCTGGCAGCAGGCCATCGGCGACCACTCTAACCTCGTCGCGCTCGCCAAAACGGCGGCCGGCGAAGACGCTAGCGCCGTCGACAAGAAGAAGATTGAATTCCTCAACGACCCTTCCGTCCCGCAGCTGGAGGTCATCTTTTCGGACGGATATACGGGTGTCAAGGGTTACCCGCCAGCTAGTTCGCCTCTCTTTGGTCAGGGCTTCTTCACCCTCATCGGCGTCGTCATGCACCCCCTGAGCCGCGGCAGCATCCACATCAACCCTACAAACCCGAGCGGCAAACCCGTCATCAACCCAAACTACCTCGGCCACGAGCACGATATTGAGGCCGTTGTTCAAACGGTCAAGTACTGCCGCAAGATCGCCACAACCGAACCCATGAAGTCCCTATGGGTCAACGAGTACGAGCCCGGCCTGGACAACGTGCAGACCGACGCCCAGTGGAGAGATTTCGCCCTCAAAACCACTCTCAGCATCTTCCACCCTTGCTGCACTTGCTCCATGCTGCCGCAGAAGGACGGTGGCGTCGTTGACCCGAACCTCAAGGTGTACGGCACCTCGAACCTGCGCGTCGTCGACGCCAGCATCATCCCTCTGCTGATCTCTGCCCACATCCAAACCGCTGTGTACGGTATTGCTGAGATCGCGGCGGAGAAGATCATTGCAGATGCCGCCAAGAGCGCGGCCAAGAAAGCCGCCAGGATGGCTTGAACGTCCTTGGGATACTGGTGACGGGATTGTACATACTTTAGAGCTTCTAGGTTCACACTTACTATGCTGGGTGCAACAAGCTGCATCCCCTGCGACGTGGGCCTCGAGCTGTTCTCATTCGAATGTAGGCATATGGTCTTCAGCATTGCGTCGGTGCAAATTACCCTCTTTTTAAATATTACTGAACAAGCTTTCCTTGATTCTAATCAAACGTGCGCCAACGCCCTATGACCGTTGTGAAAATCTCATCCACACTCCGTTGCCCCTAGTCCTTTTGGACTACCTTAGCTCCCGCTCCAGCTCAGTCTGTGCCATCCCGACCGTGTTGCCTACTCAGTCTTTTACGAGATATCGGTGGCAAGTAGATTAATCATCGTGATACCTTTTCGAGGCATGTGAGTGGGTGTAGGCCTTGGCGCGTTTTGACGTGGACTTGCAACCCCGCACCTCGAACGGGACCAACAAAAACAGCCCAATGCCACAGAGGCACAAAAGAATGGACAATGCGCGAATCGAACGCGCGACCTTCAGCAAGCACTGGTGTTGTAACAACAAATCCTCGATGCTAAGCAGACGTTATACCACTAAACCAATCGCCCAATGATGGTTGGCGCCGTCGAATGGCATGTACATGATCTTGTTGGTCAAGGCACAAGAGGAGCTTAAACAAAGCCAACCCCGCATCACGCTGCTGCCCATCTGGTCTATGATGTCTGCCGACGTTCTACTTCATCAGATGAAGAGCTGATGCATGACAGGAGCGCCAGCTTGACTCAACCAACGCGTTGGCGGGGGTTCATTGGCGCCATGGTGTGGGCTCGGAGCCAAAGAACCAGTCTTGTTGTTCGGAGGATGTACTGCTACTCGATACGTATACTCATCCTTTGATGGAGTGCCCTGATAGCAACAGGTAATCTATACCAGGCTTTTCACTCCATATAAGTTTTGAGATCCCTTGCCAGACATGGTTCGTAGCGCTCACGGGCCTTCTGTAGACAGTTGCCCTCTGGCTTGCAGCAGACTAAGTTTCAGCGATCATGACCAATGTTGAATGTACTAGCAAACATAATTGCTTTCCCATTAGTCTGCCCAGGGAGCTTGAGGAGTGAGACCTGTTAAAAGACGCAAACAAAATGGAGAAGGTGTTGGAATGGATTTCCGATTCGGATCCATCTCTAACCAGCTTAACAGGATCGACGAGGTGCTGGCCAGTATCCTGCATCTACGTGGTTACCTTAACCTCACGAGAAGAGGCATGAGACTTGTAAAATGGTTGGTGCATGAACAGGGACCGGACTTGGTTCGTGGATTTTGTCTAGTTCAAGATGAATATGTTATCTAAACTCTTGGCAAATGGTGTAGGCTGTAGTGTTTTCAGTGGCTCAAGTCACTATTTGGAGCAGAGGCTAGTCGCCACGTGCAGCAGCAGGTGTGGAAGAAGCTGATGATCGAAAATTACTCCGAATGCAAGTCATATCTTGGTGCTGAGGGGTTCGCGGACATGAGCCCAATCCCGCAATCTACATCATGTTTCGATCAAAGTATTCTCCGTCTACGCGCCAATGCGAATGCAAGGCACCTCCATTGCATAGACCGGGCATTGCGGCGAAGTTGTTGTTCTGCTCTCTGCTTCCAATATTCAGGCCTGTTCACAATGAGCTTGTAGCATCATCAATTCCTATCGGCTGTACCCAAGCTCCATAATCCAACCCGACTCGACAGGTTGTTAACATAGACTCAAACCCTGATCATTGCTAGGTAGACGATCGGCACCGGGGATTTAAAGAACGGCGCGGTAGGCTTAGATGCAGGATTCGTCGCACGCTAATGTAACGCGTTCCAAGATCATGAAGTATCAACAACCTCCGATTGGGCCGCATATGAAAACAAGGCGACCCCAGGATTGCTGCGCGCGCAGCAATCCAGGACTGCCGAAGGGCGGGGAAATCATATGTCAAAGCAAGCCACGAGGGCAATCATTTCCAGAACAAGACATTCGGAGGGACATAATCCTTCCCATTCCTATGCCTTGGCCGCCACCACATAATACAAGTCCAACAACATGCATGAAAGCCAATTGTCCACCAATTGACCTAGAAAGAAAGTTAAAGAAACCAGGAAAGTGTCTTATGGACTGGATTCCGATCAAGGCGATGCCGTAAAATCATTTCCAGAACTTCATATGAGCCTGCGGCTTCGAAAGGGGTGTAGAAAAGTCAACAAGTATAAATAATTACGCGTTATGGCCCGCCGAGGTTCAACATTCTGGTAACTTCACAAGCAAATTCTCTTACTCCCAGACCAGCCGCTGCCTTTTAGTCAGAATGAAGTTTTCGGCCATTCTTGGGCTCACGCCACTTATCGCCTCGACGGTTCTCGCCTGCAATGGTTACACCGGTGGTGTACCCGTGGCCACTAACACTGTCACAAAGTCTACCTACATCGAGGTCAAGGCTGGCGAGGTCTACGACGGCCAATGGCAGCGTTTCGACCGCGGCAGCGGTGCTTGCGGTGGCGATAACGAAGGCGGTATGTCAAAAGAACCAACAGGCAAAGCTCCTAGCATCCCTAAGACTGAAGACTGAATCCATTTGCAGACTACAAAGATGCCGTCTTCTACCTTCGCGCCGGTGCTACCCTGAAGAACGCAATCATCGGCAAGAACCAGGCAGAAGGTGTTCATTGCGATGGCCACTGCACCCTTGAGTTTGTCTGGTTCGAAGACGTCTGCGAGGACGCCATTTCCATCAAGAACGACAAGGCTGGCGCCCACTCCTGGATCATCGGCGGCGGTGCTTACAAGGCCTCAGATAAGGTCGTGCAGCATAACGGATGCGGAACAGTCAATATCATCAACTTCTTCGTCCAGGACTACGGGAAGCTCTACCGTTCGTGCGGCAACGTATGTCTTCGTCTCGTGGTGCGTTTTGGATGATTTCGCTGACCTCTCCGATAGTGCAGCTCACAGTGTAAGCGCAACGTCTACATTGAGGGTGTAACGGCCAGAAACGGCGGAGAACTTGCGGGCATTAACAAGAACTTTGGTGATACTGCTACGCTGAAGAATGTGTGCACTGATGCCAAGACTCCCTGCCAGTTCTACCAGGGATGCGCTGGTGGCTGTGAGCCTAAGAAAGACGGTGCTTGCTCCGGTTGAAGGGCGGTTTTCCTCTGGAAGCAATGCCTCATGGAAAGAAAGTAGTCGTGGGGTCCATAGACCGGCTGCGATCTGACTTGCCCACGCCTTGCCTGTGTGTTTCACGGGAAATGTCACGACCATGTAGCTTCAGGAGCATCAACTTATTGAACCGCCCCGCAGAAATATTCGCGCATGAATGAAATTTGGTGTAGCCATTCTTATCAAGGCCCGTGAATCATATTGTTCAGCTTCACATCAGTGGCTTGATGGATGACTTAGGGGAAGACAGATAACTTCTCATGCGATTCCCTTCTGTTCGTCACAACGCTGCGTATCATCATGTCGATGTTCATCCGAGCACCTTAGGAGGTATGGCCTGAAGGAGTACGTTTCATTCCTCGTAATGGACAGAGTATCATTTCGTAAACGAAGTGAACCTCGAAACACGAAGCATAAAGTCCCACGTTCTGGTTGTCTCCCGCGCCATTCCATCTCAGGGGCTGAATCAGGGGTTTGGTGGGTCGATGAAGGGAACGAGCGCCACAGCCCCAGCCACAAGCCACATTCCACAAGCACAGTGTCACACGTCGTGTCACACGGAGCTTCCGCCGCCGTGGAAGGATGCAGATCGGTACGTACCCCCAACCCGAAACGCGGTGTCCAGCTCGGGGTGACACTTCGCGACGGAATGCCCTGGCTGCTTCATGCATCGAACAGGTGCCGTTACAAGGGCCCCTTCCAGTTGCCTAACGCATGCGACAACCTCACCGACGACAGCAGGCATAGAGATGCCTCGCACAACATCATGGACTTTGTAAGAATTCTCAGAGCCGCCGCAAAGCTACCTTTTACCACTGATCTAACCCATCTGCCTGCAGTGGTCACGACTCTTAGCTGGCACATCGCTTGCCTCGGGCGACTCCCGCAAAGACGATGGCAGCAACCCCACCAAGCGACTGCATCGATTCGACAAGGAGTTCAACCAAATACTGGTAAGTCGGGGCGTTGGTTTGCTGACTACCAAGTCCCAAGCTGACGAGAATGCAGCACATTTGGAGGTCCTCTTCAAATCTCGCCAAGGACGATGACGCCGCCGAAGCTCTGGAGATCCGTCTCCAAGAGCTGACCAACATCCTCAGCGACGAAACCCGACGACCATTACCTCATACGTGCATCCAGTATGCCTCGAAGAAACAAATCTATATCCCCATCGGCAAAATCGCGACTACCTCGTACAACGAATGGATCATCAAGGAGGCCGTACATCTCTTCGCAACGCTCGTGGAGACAGACGAAGAAGCTTTTGTCGAAAACTCAAACTTCTCTGCCAGCCTCACGAATCTTCTTGTGCGGATCACCGGGGTCAACAGCGTCCGGCTGGGGTCCGATACCGAAGCCAAGGTTGTCGAACTTGCCTTCAACATTACTACGAAGATCCGACTTGACCGCGACATCCTCCCGGTCTGGTTCAAGGCCGAGCCGCCCGGTCCGCGTGAGCTCGAGAAGACACAAGACAAGCATGAGACCTTCGCTGGCCGAACCCAGAGGCAGGACTTTCCGCTGTTCTACATATTGATGGACTACATCCACCAGGAGGGAAAAGTCGGCGACTTTGCGAGGACGGGACTGCTCTACATCATCGAGTGCGCTTCCAGCTCGGAGCAACTGGAGCAGTGGATCGTCGAGAGCGATCTATCAACACTCATGTCGACAGGATTAGGCGCTTTGTACAGCCAGCTTAGTCGCAAGCTGGTTATCGACCACCTCCCACACGACTTGCCTCCCGTTCTTGCCCTCTCCGACTATGAACACCCGACGTCGACGTACGAGATCATAAGCTCGTGCTCCCCCGACTTTCAGCTGCATCTGGAGACTTTCTTGTCGCATCTTCTTTTCTGGCAGGATGTCTTGGAGCACTGTAAGTCAGTCGAGGTCAAGCAAACGCTGCTGGAGCATTTCCAGGTTATCTTTCTGCAACAACTTCTGTAGGTCGATTCTCCGCTTGCCAAGCGACCCGCATCTAACTGTTCTAGATACCCATCTCTTCTTGAGTCTTCCGATATCGACGGCGGCTCTTCCGTCGCTGTCTTGACCTATCTGCGCCGTATCCTTGAATCCCTCGATCATCCGGACATGATCAACCTCATCCTACACTATCTCCTCGGGCTACCGAGCCATCTATCTGGCCGCGGGCCCGGCTCACGAACGTCCATCAGCGACGCGCGCAAACGCAAATCTATGGATCTCGCCTCCATGATGGCTTCGGCGAATTCCGACTCGACTGCGACTCCACTCCTTTTCAATCTCGTAGATCTCATGCTCGCGTGCCTGAGGTCCCACAACCAGCAGACAATCCACGTCACACTGCAGCTGGTATCGGCCATTCTTAAGAGACATCACCGGTACGCCGTCATCACTCTGCTGCATACGGATGTCATCGTGGGCGAGAGGGCCAAGCGAACTATTGGTGCTCACGAGCAGGAGGTCGACTATTTGGTCAACCTCGCTGGCTCAATCGGCGGCCAGGACAACTTCGATGAAATCTACGACAGCATCGTGAAGGATACAATGGCTCGCCTGGAGAGTCACCCCTGTTCTTTGAAGCTCGTGGCACCTAAAATCTCCACCAACAACCACGAGTTACCTGCGATCCCAGACAGTCTTCCCGGCGCTCCTCGTGACGTGCCACAACACACATTGCGGCCTGATGATCCCCTTCTCAGCACATTGCTGGATCTGTTGGAGACTTTCTTCGTTAATCCTGTCGATACCAACCTCGCTCTGACAGACACTGTCGTCAATCTTGCCATTTGCGGCTACATGAGCATCGAAGGCTGGCTGTTGAGGAACCCTCAAAGGTACACGTACGAACATGACGCCAATGACGCCGATCCCACATCTCCCATCACTCCGGCCACGCCATTGTTCAATGTGGTGCCCGTAGACCCAGAAGACCCAGGTACCACCGAGGCTGAAAAGCTCAGAGCCATCGAAAGCTGCAGACGTTGTCCTCTCTGGGCCCAACCGTCGTTGCCCCGCATGCTGGTCGTCTTGCAGCGACTCTGCACGCAGATCTCTGAATATCGAGAAAACATTCCCCGCTTCGACGAGCTGCTGCAACACCGTCGAGAGGCCTTTCAAACAGCCGATTCGGTTCACGCCACACCCAGCCTTCCAGCGAAACCCGTGCCGCATCAACACAGTTCAACCCAGACGCCTGACCGCCCAAGCCTGGAGGGGATTTCCCGAAGCGGCTCGCCATCGCGTCCATCGGCCCTTGAGGGCTTCGCACAGCGCCTTCTCTCTGAATTTGGCACGCCCAGTCGAACCAGCAGCCCTCGCGGTCGCAAAGAACACAGCCGTGGCTCGGGTGCGGCCAGCCCAATGCCTGGCGGTACGCCGGGTGGCCACGGTGCCTCCACGCCCTCGGCACGGCCTCTCCCATCATCAGCTCCTAAGGAGTTCCCGTTCAACTACGATGACCCATCGCACAGCGGCGCGCGCGCCTTTTCGCCGAGCAGCGCGGGCGGCGACTCTGCAGCTGCCAGTCAGCAGGCGGCATTCGCAGCGGTTGATCAGAGCATTCTGGCGCGACGGGTCGGCAAACCGGCGAACATCAAGGCGATCCCTTTGCGACTCGGCCAGGATGAACCGGCGCCTGGCGAGGAACGCGTCACAGCGCACGAACCGCCTCCAAAGGACGACGACGAGGAGCAGGAGGTCGAGCGCCAAGGCGACGCAGACACAGATGACGGGGAGACGCAGACAGGCGACGGAGGCAACGATGCTGCTGCTGCTGGAGAGGTCGTCGACGACGACGACGAAGAAGAAGAAGGCAGCGAGCGCACCGCGTCCGTGTCGCACGTCATCACAAACGTGCTCATTCTGCAAAGCTTTCTTCTCGAGCTCGCGGCTTTGGTGCAGGTGAGGGCGGGGTTGTTTGACGAGGTACGCTTTGCGTAAGTGCAGGGTAGCGGACCAGATGCTAGAGCAGGGCCTTGAAGACGGGCCTTCTTGTGTTTAGACAGAAGCGGGAGCATAGTTTGGCGTCGGATGGACCTGGGTAGAGAGCTTTTGGGGGTGAAGCGCGTATGTTAGCATGGGTATACCGGGATACATTGTTCTTAATTGCACTGCCTCCCCGAGGCGTGTTGGCTCCGTGAGGTAGTCGTAGAGTAGAAGGAGAGCTTCACTTCTGTACGATGCCGGCTGACTGCGAGTGCTTGCCCATGGCCCTTTCAGCTCAGCAGCTGGCTCGCTTTCGTTCTGTTTGGCCTGAACGAACGAGGCGTGGAGGATGTGGAGCGAGCAAGCTCGTTATCGCTCGTCCTTGGCAGTGAACTCCAGGGAGGTCGGCACCCTAGCTTAGGTACCTACTCAGGTAGCTACTTAGGTACCTACTCAGGTAGCTACTTATGTACCTACTTAGGTGCCTACTTAGGTAAGTTGGAAGGTACCTACTTGGGCAGACTGGTAGGTACCCTGAAAAAAGGCACCTACCTACCTCAGAGAGGCTCGAGGCTCCTCAGAGAGGAGGGTGACGCGCATGATCGCGTCTCACGTCACTGACCTAGCGCCTTCGCCCATTGGAAAGCAGCTCCCACCCACCACTGGAATCTTGAACTGCTGGCCAGGCGCACTTCGTTTTGTCTACGTTGCTTCACACCGACTAACCTCGACAGCGCAACTCCATCACCGGCAACCTGTCGACCTTGTTTTCATCCATTTCTCCGCATTCTCCCGATTGAACGACGCCGTCCACTGCGACCCGCCCCCGACTTCCTCCACCGATCCCTCTTGTCTCGGGTAGTCAGAATTCAGCATCTCAGGCCAACCTCCGACGATGGCTCCCACCCAGAACCACGAAGACCTGAAGCACCGCACCCAGGAATCCGCCCGCGGCGTCTACGCCTTCAGCCAGCGCCAGCTCGACCGCGCCGTCAGCCCCTCCACCCGCCAACAAGCCTACACCAGCGCCGCCGACTTTGCCCACGAGCGACCCCTCCTCTTCGTACGTGCGCTGTTGTCGTGCTGCTGCTCCCTCTTTCACTTCTTCCCTTGCCATGCACCTCTCCCGCCTCCTGGCTACCCCTCCCCACCTCCCCCAGAGTGACACAGAGCCAAGGCTAACGCGCGTCATCGTCGTCCTCGACACAGGCCTTTCTCGCCGCACAACTCATCTTCTCCTTCCTGCCGCTCGTCATCTTCGCGACCTTTGCCCTCTCGACTGTCGGCTTCGCCCTCGGCGCCGCCCTCCTCTTCGCCCTCTTCTGGATCGGCGTCGCGCTGCTGGTGCTCGTGCCGACGCTGTTCCTGACGAGCGCCGTCGGGCTCCTTGTTTGGATCTGGGCCGCTGGGAGCTTCGTTGTCGCGCGGAAGCTCTGGCAGGTTGCGCCGGCGAGTGTCAAGGGCGGGCAGCAGGGGTCGACCAATGGTGAGCGGACCGGCGTTGTGCTGAAGGAGGAACCTCGTGATTGAAATAGTGGCCGCGGAGTTGGGGGGTGTGGTGTAGGACAAGCATGGACAGTGCTTTGAGGTTGATGTCGCGATGGGGATTTTTCTTTGGGATGGGCACAGGCACAGGCACCGGCACAGGCACAGGCACAGGCACAGGCGTATAAGGATGGACGGGTTATGACGGACTAGGGTATTACTAGGCTTATAAAATGCACTGGCAAGAGTCTCTTGTCATATCATGGCATCACTGCCCCCGGATTTGACCTGGACGGGCGACTTTCCATCGTTTTCATACGACCACCTTGCTGAGCCAAGCGTACATAGGACGTGTTTGCCTGCCTCGAGCTTGGTGAGTCGCAATCATCTTTCCCACCAGGAATCAACTGACCGACTACGGCAGAACACAAAAACATGGCGATAGCTCATCGACGAAACGGTGGAGCCATTCAGAGCCGCTCTATAAGGTCATGCCTTCAACTTTGCCGTTCTGGGCCTCCTCAAAAGCTGCACTATTCGATTTGAGCCTTCATTGGCACACTAACGCATCACATGAAGAACACGGCTTCTGCTTCTAGTGCCCACACCCCACGACCGGCTCGCTCCGGCTGCCCGAATGGGCTTGGGCCTGCGCTGCACTCCACCCGGGCCCGAGACGGCGTCATTTTTCGGCTTCTTAGCCCGACTTAGGCCCGAGGTTGGCTTACCCACCGGGACAACCCACCCTCCTCCATCTCCAATCGTGACCTCATTGTGCTTACCCGGTTTTCGCATGTGTCCCCGGTCTTCTCCAGTGTTTTCTCCAGTTCTTACAAGTGTCAACAAAACGTCACAGAGAACTCGGACTGCCCTTCATGTCTCTCCAGTCATACTCAGGTCGAGTCGATCGAGTCGATAGATTACGCCTCGCTGACGACATACACTGAGAGGCTTCAAGGCAAGATAGCGATGGGTGAGCCAATCCGCGACAAACCTCTGCACGGGGATCAGATCCCCGCCGCGCACCTCCAGCCGCCGATCGCCGTTGTGGGGATGGGATGCCGTCTGCCTGGCAACAGCAACTCACCACAAGCCCTCTGGCAGTTCATCTCCAACGGCTCAGTCGCCGACAACGTCCCTCCGACGAGTCGCTTCCGTTACGCGACGCACTATGACGGCTCCGGACGCGCGGGAACGACGCCGTCCCCGGGTGCCATGTTCCTCGGGGACGAGATCGACATCGCGGCCTTCGACGCGGCCTTTTTCAACACGAGCCACCAGGAGGCCGGGAGCATAGACCCTCAACAGCGACAGCTTTTAGAGGTCATGTACGAATGCCTCGAGAATAGCGGCGAGACCCTCGAAAGAATCCGAGGCGCCAACGTTGGTTGCCTCGTCGCCAACAATGGCTGCGGTATGTGTCTCCTTTTCCGCTGTGGAACGTGGCTGTGCAATGAGTTGATCAGTGCGCAGAGTACGAGAGCGGTACTACGCGCGATCCGGAGGACCAGATTCCAGGGCGAAGCACTGGATGCGGCCGCTCTATTCTTGCGAACAGGATTTCTCACTTTTTAGACATCACGGGACCCAGGTGCGTTCACTTCTAGGCATGACGCGAGCATACAGCTAACTCAAACAGCATCGCTATTGATACCGCCTGCTCTGGAACTCTGGTCGCCGTCGACATGGCTTGTCGGTACCTCCAGTTTCAGCAGGCAGATGCGATGATTGTAGCGGGTGCTTTGCTGTACCTCGACCCATCAGCACAGCAAGACCGCGGTCCCATGCACGGCGCGCTTTCCACGTCCGGCAGATGCCACACCTTTGACGCCAGAGCCGATGGCTACATGAGGGCCGAAGGCGTCAACGCCGTGTACCTGAAGCGCCTCGACGATGCGATCCGCGACGGAGATCCCATCCGCGCCGTCATTCGCGGCAGTGCCACGACGGGCGACGGCCGAACGCCAAGCCTCACACAGCCCAACCCGGACGCGCAGGCAAACGCGATACGTGCCGCCTACAGGAACGCGGGCATCACCGACTTCAGCGCGACCGGCTATGTGGAGTGTCACGGCACGGGCACTCTGGCGGGCGACCCGCTCGAGATCACCGGTCTCGCTTCGGCCTTTGCGTCAACGCGTCCTGCCGACCAGCCGCTGATCATCGGGTCTATCAAGAGCAACATTGGGCACTCTGAATGTGCGGCAGGGCTGTCTGGACTCATCAAGGCGGTCATGGCTGTTGAGCGCGGTGTCATTCCCGGAAACCCGACGTTCATCACGCCGAATCCCAAGATTGATTTTGAAGGATCGGGAGTCCGAGCATCCCGCACAGCCATGCAATGGCCGAGCTATGCGGCCCTGCCACGCCGTGCCAGTGTTAACTCCTTTGGATTTGGTGGATCGAACGCGCATGTTGTTCTTGAAGCAGCGGAAACTTTCATGCAAGATGAGGGCTACCGCAAGACGTTCAAGACGTTGCAGGACCAACACAAACCATACACAAGCAATCAGAACGTGTCATGGAAAGACAGACTTCGTCTCTTGACGTTCTCGGCAAATGACAGGGAAACGTTGCCGAGCAATGTAAGGGTCGTCTCGGACTATTTGAGGGATCCATGCGTCAATGCCCAGGTCGACGATGTCGCGTATACACTCTCTGATCGTCGAACGCACCACTTTCATCGCGGTTTTGTGGTTGCCGATTCACTGGATTTCGATCCCAGTAAAATCATCACCGGCAAGCGAAAGGCGCAACCCCCTCGCATCGGCTTCGTCTTCACCGGGCAAGGCGCCCAATGGCCTCAGATGGGCAAGAGCCTGATCGAGAACATACCTCTGGCACGCAGCGTCGTTGATGAGCTCGACTCGGCTCTGCAGACATTACCGAATGCTCCCCAATGGACATTGCTGGCTGAGCTGACCGAAATGAGAGATACAGCGACGCTTCGTTGCCCGGAGTTCTCTCAGCCTCTGGTCACCGCTTTGCAACTCGCCCTGCTTGCTGTTTTGCAAGACTGGGGCATCGTGGGTCACAAGGTCCTGGGCCATTCATCTGGTGAGATTGCTGCCGCCGTCGCCGCCAATCTCATCACACCTGCGGAAGCAATCAAGACCGCCTACCTCCGTGGGCAAGCTGCAAAGAGGCAGTCTTCTGACGGGAATTTGGGAATGATGGCGGTAGGCGTCTCTGCGTCTGATGTCGAGAAATATTTGAGACCTGACGTCTACGTTGCTTGCTTCAACAGTCCCACGAGTCTGACATTGTCTGGCCCCGTATCCACTCTCGAATCCATTCGCGAAGACCTTCAGAATGACGGGCATTTTGCGCGTCTACTCCAGGTCGACCTGGCCTATCACTCCCCTTTCATGCGTGAAGTTGCCGACGGTTATCACAAGATGCTCCAGGAGCACTGCCCTCCATCTGGCAAGCATCTTAGAGGCAACTCCATGCTCTCCTCTGTTACGGGACACGCCATGTCCTCGCGGATAGGGCCTGAGTACTGGAAAGCCAACATGGTCAATCCCGTGCGGTTTGCGGCGCCCGCCGCGGAAATGCTCTCCGGGCCTGACGCATGCGACTTTATCGTTGAAGTCGGCCCCTCTGGGGCGCTGGCTGGTCCCCTGTCGCAAGTAATCAAGTCTCTGCCCGGTGGTGGGAAGAACATCCAGTATGCTGCGGCCGCAAGTCGAGGATCAGAGACCCTGGCTGCTCTTTTCGAAGTAGCAGGGAAGGTCTGGGCGAGGGGCGGCCCTGTCAAGCTGGCCAAGGTCAATGCGTATGACCGCCCTTCCGTCCTTGTTGATCTGCCAAACTACCAATGGAATCACTCCAGGCGGTACTGGCGAGAAGGACTCTCGACGGAGGAGTACCGCCAACGGCCGTTCATATCACACGAGCTCCTCGGGTCCAAAGTTCTTTCTACTAGTTGGCAGTTTCCCACATGGACCAAAGTCATTCATCTGTCGGATTTGCCGTGGCTAAGGGACCATCGCATCAACGGCGAAGTCATCTTCCCAACTGGAGCATATGTTGCCATGGCGGCTGAGGCCATCCGCCAGTCCAGTATCATGGCCAGATGCTCAGGCGGTGCGCAGCCCACTTCTTTTACCTACAGAATGAAGAACATAAATGTTCTTGAACGTCTCGTTCTCGATGAAGCGGAAGGCTCAAGAACAAGGTTGATTCTCTCTCCAGTTCATGATTCGGCAGAGCAGTGGCATACTTTCACTATCCAGTCCTACGATGAGATGGCCTGGGTTATGAATTGCACCGGGTACATCAGAGTTGATGAAACGGTCGCAGACGGGCCTTCATTCCCGGCTGAGACTGTGCCATTGCGCTATTCTGAGTCCGGAGGGAGATGCTACAAAAGAATGGCCGCTTTGGGATGCGACTATGGCCCTCATTTCCAACGGATCAAACGATTCCAAGCTGCTCCAAATGAGAAGTATAGCCGAGGGGTGCTGGAAACCGAGTCGCCAGAGCACCATTCATCATACTCCATTCATCCAGTGACCATTGATGGGTTCCTCCAACTTTGTGGTCTCTCCCTACAACAGAGCTTAACGACGGCTGGGGAGAGCGTCAGCATGGTGCCCAACCGCATCGGAAGTCTCACAATACCAGCAAACGAGCTTATCGAATCGACATGTATTGGGTCTGTCCTCCCTCAGTACATTGGCTATGGATCAGAAAGCTCAAGAGCCAATCTTACCGTGTCTGGAAAACTGATTCATCCGGAAAGCGGTTGCCCACTTCTCGATATGAGCGGCGTGTTCTTTGACGTTTTCACGCCCAAGGAGGACTGCTTCACAAAACACACATACACTCGCTATAAATGGGACATCGACATATCATTGGCGACCGCGGAAGGCCTAAATAACATGCTGTTGAGCCAGAACCCTTCTCCAACCTCTGAAGACGCATTGCAGAGACTCTTTGATCTCATAAGTCACCAAACGCCCGATGCCTCAATCATCGAGGTCAACATGGACGACCAAAGCTCATCATGCAAATGGCTCGGAACTCATCCAAACAGGCCTCATGCCAAGTACACCCGCTTTACAGGCAACGAGGCTGTGCTAGCTATGATGCAAGGTAGATACGCCAACTGTACCGATACAGAGTTTCAGGTCCTTGAGGCCCTGAACCGCAGCGATGCTCTCCGAGCGAAGAATGACTTTGCTATTCTGACAGTCGGTGAATGGGTTACAGAGGACAAAGTCATGCCCCTGCTTGCAAACATCCTGTCAACGCTAAAAGAAGACGGCCAGCTGCTAGTTACTGATCTTGATCAGGCAACTGAAGCCAGAGTGAAGAAGGCTCTGAGAGAAGCTGGTTGCTCCTGCATCAAAGACCTGGCGCCGGCACTATCTCGTGGAGCCACTCTTGCTTCATCGAAGCAGGCTGAGCGGTTCCTCAACCAAACAGACATTACTTGCTTGCACCTTGCCGCAGGAGAAACCCACACAGGGAGGATCCTGGCTGGGCTTCAGAGTTCTGGATGGAACGTACGATCCATAACCTCGACTGAAACAATTCGACAACGAACCCATGTCCTAATTCTGGACGAACTATACACTTCTGTCACTGCAACCATTTCTCATCAACAACTTTTGATGATTCAAGAACTCATAAAGAAAGAGTGCAATATCCTTTGGGTCACAACTGGGGCACAGATAAACATCACCAACCCAGATCGAGCTGCCACAACGGGCTTCCTGCGGACACTCAGGATGGAAGAAGTCCACCTACGCATCATAGCTTTGGATGTGGAATATCCTGAAGGCAACAAGACCGTCCCTGCTATTGAGACATGTCTTAGGTTACTGGTCAACGCAGAGGGCAAATTTAGGCGGGAAAGCGAATTCGCTGAGCAACAAGGCCTGATCCACACGCCTCGGCTCTTGGTTGACGACGAGTTTGAGGTGGCGAAGTTCGACCATTTGAGAGGTAGACAGCCTGAGATGCTGAATGTGCAAGGCGACACGTGCCTGCGGCTTCAAATGGACGTGGGTTCGAGCACGTCACTGTGCAGAAAGGTGAAATTGCCATCGATCCTGCAACAAGACCACGTAGAGGTGGAAATCTTTGCCACGGAGTTACCACCGCGAGTACAATGCCTACAATATACAGCATGGTCAGGGGCAGCGGGGACCATCACGGCGCTTGGAAGCAAAGTAATTGGCTTGGAGGTTGGGCAGCGAGTGGCCTTCAGTCATGATGGCTATATGCTGAACCGAGTGTGTCTCCCCTCCGCTTCCGTTCAAAGGATTCCAGACGAGCTGTCGTTTGTATCAGCTGCTAGCCTTTCTGGAGCTTGGTTCACAGCGCTGTATGGATTGAAGAGGCTGGCGAATCTTCAAAAAGGCCATCGTGTGCTCATCTATTCGAATGGTAACCCGAGGGACTTGGCAGCCATAAAGCTTGCCCTGCATTTAGGAGCTCAGGTAACTCCATGAGACCTTTCCCTGCATTACCACAAGGCCGAACTAACAAGTCACAGGTATACGTTGGAATTTCTAACGAAGATGGACATACCTTACTCCAGAATGAGGTCCCGATACCACCCAACCGAATCATAGTATTTAACCGAGAGGATACAAGTGGCGACCGCATTCGATTGGCTGGAGAAGTCCTGTTTGACGTTGCTTTTGGCTCCTTCTCGGATATCCATCTAGCTATGGTGTGGAGGCGTGTAGCTGAAGATGGTACGCTTGTCTTGACCGAGCAGACCGAGGACTCGACGCAAGTCAACCTTTCATTGGAGCCTTTCACACGAGGGGCCTCTTTCAAAGTCCTGAACCCTCAAAATATACGAAAGGATACCCTCATCCGCAATCAGTGAGTTGTATCAACCGAAGATGCCGTAATAGTACCTGGCTTACATCTGTCAGGTTATTAACAGAAACACTCGGGCTCTCGAGCGTCGGCAGTAGCCTATCATCCCTCTCGCCGAAAGTATTTGGTTATGATCAAATTGAAAACGCCGTACAATGGATGAAAGCCAACAAGTTCGCGCAGGCGATGCTATGTCGCATTCGGGGCCAGAATGTTATGATTCAAGTATGTGCTGCCCTCTTCTATCCGATCGCTGTTGTATGTGGCTGACTTGTCCGCCAAAGATACAGCTAGAACCCCGGACAATCAAATTCGAGGAACATGCATGCTACCTCCTAATTGGCGGCCTCAGGGGCCTTTGTGGAAGCGTTGCTATTGATTGGGCGAGGCGCGGAGCGAAGCATCTTGCCGTAATGTCGCGCAGCGGCTACGATGACGAGACCTCGCAAAGGGTCTTGCGAGAGATCGAGGGTATGGGCTGCCATATCGATCTTTTGCAAGGAGATATAACCATACTGGATGATGTCCGGCGGGTCCTCTCTGAAACGAGTGTTCCAATTCGTGGTATCTTGCAAGGTTCTATGGTCCTTCGAGACCGACCTTTTCCGGCCATGACTATCGAAGAGTTTCACCAAGCAGCAGGATGCAAGATCACGGGGACCTGGAACATTCACAACGCATCACAAGACTTGGGCCTCGATCTGGACTTCTTGACCCTGCTCTCAAGCATTGCTAGCGTTCTGGGAGGGATGGCACAAGCCAACTACGCTGCAGGTTGCTCTTTCCTTGATGCGTTTGCTGCCTACCGCCGCGGCCTCGGTCTTCCAACGTTCAGCGTCAACCTTGGCATCATCGGTGAGGTAGGCTACATGTCGCGGGATGAGGCATTGCTCGAAAGGCATATCGGATCCGTCACAACCAGTATCAACGAAGACTTGATGAGACAAATCATACGATACACTGTTCTCCAGCAGAGCAAAAAACCGATCAGCCACTCGGCCACGTCAAACATTGTGACAGGTATCGCGGTACCGCAGTCTGGCGACTCCTACCTTCGATTGGACAAGCGGTTTTCGCACCTCTTTATAGGTGGCGACGCTCAGCTTTGGGGAGCCGAAGACAGCGAGACAAGGGATAACGCCCGTCAGACAAGAGAGCTCAGGGCCCTGCTTGCGACACAACCAACAACAGCAGATCGTGGGGTGGCGTTGGAACTCGCCATTGCGGTGGTTAGCGATTACATTGCGCACGCAATGCACTTGAGCGAGCCTGTCGAGCCAGAACGATCACTAGCTATGTATGGAATCGATTCATTGGCGGCTGTGGCTTTCAGAAATTGGGCGAGAATGGAGCTGGGCGCTGGATTGTCCACAGGGGATGTCACAATTGCGCCGTCGCTGGTAGCGCTTTGTGAGAGTATAGTAGACGGCTCCAAGGAGTAACTATGATATCTCAACATCTCATGCCCTCTAAGGCGATGATATTTGTCGCCATATAGACACAACGCAATGTTTGCCGTTGCTGAGTGTCAGTGACATTTGGAGTCTCTCCCGTAGTCTTCACTATTATGACTGTCCTCGAGAGAGGTAGAACCCGGGCTCCACAAGCCCCTCAAACAGGACTAACCCTGCCCTAACTCGACGCTATCACCATTCAACAAGATCATCGATCCACATAACAGCAGCCAGAGCGCCATTATCCCGCTGAAAATCCCCATTGCTGAGGCGAAGCAGCTACGAAAGGTACAAGTACGCACTCACCAATCCCTGTCGACATCAATCATTGTACAGTCTGCGTGGCTTAGCTGGTCAGAGCGTCGGTCTCATATTCATCAATATGACTGGATCATCAGATCTAGATATCCGAAGATCATGAGTTCGATCCTCATCGCGGACAATCCTTTTGCTCCCTGTAATCGATTTAAAGATGCACAGCATGTCTCATTGTTTTTTTTTTTTTTGGTTCGCCGGCGGTATCGCAGAAAGGATAGCCCCGAGCCCAGTCAGTATTCGTGCTTGACCTGTACGACTGCGGACATGCCGAGAGTCCGAGAGCCGGATACACCGACATTTCGGGGGGCCGTGATCCAGTGCCCGGCCGGCTCACTGCCCAGTACATGGACATGCCGAATGCACACTTACAGCAGCTTTCAATGGATATCGATCGATGAAACGTTAGCTTCGCGACCACTGGTATTTTCGCAGCATGCTCAAATTGGCCGTGCCATGGCACGCTGGGTAGTACCAGATCGACGCCCTGACTCCGACATCGCGGAGCCG